GTCGGCCCAGAGAGGCCCCCCAAACGGCTTCCGACGGCATCAGACGGGCCAGGGGCCCACCAAGACGGCCGAAGATGATCCGAAGATGGCCCAAGACGGCCCAAGAGGCCTCCAAGAGGGCCTCCAGGAAGGCCCGAAAAGGCCAAAGTCATTGATTGCCCGTGAGTTGTTGAAGCATTTGCTTTGTTTCGGCCTTCCGACGGCCCGAGATGGCCCAAGAGGCCCCCGAAGATCGCCCAAGAGGTCTCCAGAATGGCCCCAAAACGGCCCAAGAGGACCCCAAGACGGCCCCAAGAGGCCCCCAAGACATTCAAGATGGCCTCCAAGACAGCCCTGGAGCACCCCAAGAAAGCCCAAAGTCGGCCCAGCCTCCCCCATCGTGTTCCCCGAACGCTTTCCAAACCGATTCGGGGAACACATGGTCCGATAGCTTGGCAGGACTAGGCCACAACGTTCGGCCACATAGGCGTTTCCAAAAAGGCAGGGGGCGGCGGTGATTCGCCGTAGGCGTCTTCGATCCGCCGCCCCCTGTCGATTCATCGCAGGGGTGCCTGGCGTGCTGAATTATTACGGTTTTGGTGTTGGTTCTTTTTCCAAAAAGAACTCCCCTGGGGCTTCGGCCCGTCCCGCCGGCCACCGAAGGCCCGCAGTTTTCCCAATGTTTCGTTCAAGATGGCCCAAGATGGTCTTCAAGATGGCCACGTTGGCCCAAGATGGCCTCCAAGTCCGCCCAAGATGGTCCAAAACGGCCTCCCATACGGCCCAAGAAAGTCCAAGACGGCCCAAGACGGCCCAAGAGGCCCCCCAGAGGCCTCCAAGACGGCCCAAGAGGCCTCCAAGAGGTCCTCCAGGAGGACCCGAAGAGGCCAAAATTATCGATGTTTTTTTTCTGGTTTTTGAAGGATTTTCGATTTCGCTGCTTCTCGGCATTCCGACGGATCAAGACGGCCGACGAGGCCCCCAAGATCGCCACCACAGCGCCCAAGAGGCCTCCAAGATGGCCTCAGGACTGCCCAAGAGGCCCCCAAGACGGCCCCAAGAGGGCACAAAGACGACCCAAGAGGCCTCCAAAACGCCCAAGATGGCCTCTAAGACGGCCCTGGAGCACCCCAAGAGGGCCCCAAGTCAGCCCAGAAAGGCCCCCAAGACGGCTTCCGACGGCGTCAGACGTGCCAGGAGCCCACCAAGATGGCCGAAGTTGGCTCGCAGCTGGCCCAAGACGGCCCAAGAGGCCTCCAAGAGGGCCTCCAGGAAGGCCAGAAAAGGCTAAAAACACAGATGTTCCGTAGGTGTTCGAAAGATTTTGGCATTTGCTTCGTTTCGGCCCCCAAAGATCGCCCAAGGATCGCCCAAGAGGCCTCCAAGATGGCCCCAGAACGGCCCAAGAGGCCCCCAAGACGGCCCCAAGAGGCCCCCAAGACGGCCCAGGATGCTCTTAAGACGCCCAAGACGGCCTCCAAGGCGGCCCTGGAGCATTCCAAGAGGGCCCCAAATCGGCTCAAAGAGGCCCCCAAAGCGGCTTCCGACGGCGTCGGACGAGCCAGGGGCCCACCAAGACGGCCGAAGATGGCACCAAGATGGCCCAAGACAGCCCAAGAGGCCTCCAAGAAGACCTCCAGGAAGGCCCGAAAAGGCCCACATCACTGATTTCCCATCCATGAGTTGTTGAAGGATTGTGGCATTTGCTTTGTTTCGGCCTTCCGACGGCCCGAGACGGCCCAAGTGCCCCAAAAAATCGCCCAAGAGGCCACGGCCCCAAGAGGCCCCCAAGACGGCCGAAGAGGCATCCAAGACGCTCAAGATGGCCTCCGAGGCGGCCCAAGAGCCCTCGGAGACGTCCTCCAAGAAGGCCCGCAAGGCCCAAATGGCCTCCAGGCGGCCAAGATGACCTTCAAGATGTCCACGTGTTCAGCGAAGGCTTTCCAAACCGATTCGGGGAACACATGGTCCGATAGCATGGCAGCTCTGGCCTCAACGTTCAGCCACATAGGCGCTTCCACAAGGGCAGGGGGCGGCGGTGATTCGCCGTAGGCGTGTTCGATCCGCCGCCCCCATGTTGTTTGCAAGAGGGGTGCCTGGCGTGCTAGAAGATTTCGGTTTTGGCTTTGGTGTTTTTCCAACGGCCTCCAAGACGCCCAAGATGGCCTCTAAGACGGCCCTGGAGCACCCCAAGAGGGCCTCAAGTCGGCCCAGAGAGGCCCCCAACGACTGCGTCAGGCGGGCCAGAAGCCCGCCAAGATGGCCGAAGTTGGCGCTAAGCTGTCCCAAGACTGCCCAAGAGGCCTACAAGAGGGCCTCCAGGACGGCCAGAATATGCCAAAATCATTGATTTTCCCTTAGGCGTTTGACGGATTTTGGCAGTTGTTTCTTTTCGGCCTTCCGACGGCCCGAGACGGCCCAAGAGCCCCCAAAGATCGCCCCAAGAGGCCCCCAAGATCGCCCCAAGATTGCCCAAAAGGCCTCCAAGATGGGCCCAGAACGGCCCAAGAGGCCCCCAAGACGGCCCCAAGAGGCCCCCAAGACGGCCCAGGAGGCATCAAAGACGCCCAAGTTGGCATCCAAGACGGCCCTGGAGCATTCCAAGAGGGCCCCAAGTCGGCCCAGAGAGGCCCCCAAAACGGCGTCCGACGACGTCAGACGCGCCAGGAACCCACCAAGACGGCCGAAGATAGCCCTAAGATGGGCCAAGACGGCCCAAGAGGCCTCCAAGAGGGCCTCCAGGAAGGCCCGAAACGGCCAAAATCATTGATTTCCCAGAAGTGTCTGAAGGATTGTGGCAGTTGCGTTTCTTCGGCCTTCCGACGGCCCGAGACGGCCCAAGAGCTCCCAAAGATCGCCCAAGAGGTCTCCAGTATGGCCCCAGAACGGCTCAAGAGGCTCCGAAGACAGCCCCAAGAGGCCCCCTAAGACGGCCCAAAAGGCATCAAAGACACCCAAGATGGCCTCCAAGGCGGCCCTGGAGCACCCCAAGAGGGCCACAAGACGGCCCAGAGAGGCCCCCAAGACGGCTTCCGACGGCGTCAGGCGGGCCAGGAGCCCACCAAGACGGCCACAGAGGCCCCCGAGAAGCCCCAAAGGTCTAAGAGGCTCCCAGGAAGCTCCCAGGAGGCCCCAAGAGTGTCCCCAGAGGCTCCCCAGATGCCTCCTCCTCCTCCTCCTCCTCCTCCTCCTCCTCCTCCTCCTCCTCCTCCTCCTCCTCCTCCTCTCCTCCACCTCCACCTCCTCCTCCACCTCCTCTTCCGCTCCTCCCTCCCCCTCCCCCTCCCCCTCCCCCTCCCCCTCCTCCTCCCTCCCTCCCTCCCTCCCTCACTCCCTCCCTCCCGCATCCTCGAGGTGAAGCTGACAAACTATCATCAAGACGAGTTCGTACGAAGCGTCCTGGAGCGTCCCTGATCGGCGGCACAGGCCGGAGGCCTTTACAATATTGCACCACATAGATTGCTCTGCATAGGTTCCCCGATCTCGATTGTTAGAAACGCACTTTTGGGGGCCCACGCTGGCTAACATCTGAAACACTGAACAACATCGGATTGTAAAACAAACCCAATCCTGTTTTTATATATATATGAGAAAAACAAAAAAAAACGCGGATGGGGGCAGGAGATCTTCTGGACACCTTCAAGGGAGAGAGAAGAGTAGTATTCACAACGAGTGAATGTGAAGGGAAGTGCGAGGAAGGGGTAAGGCGAAGTGGACAGGGGAGGAGGGGAAGAAGAGGATGGACATGCGAATACATCATCATCACAATCATAAGCATAACCAGCATCATCATCATCATCATCATCATCATCATCAGCATCATCATCATCATCATCATCATCATCATCATCATCATCATCATCATCATCATCATCATCATCATCATCATCATCATCATCATCATCATCATCATCATCATCATCATCATCATCACACTCATCGGCATCGGATTATCCTAGAGTCGTCGGCAACAGCATCAGCATCATCATCCTCATCCTGTCCTTCCCCATCCTCCCAAAGCGTCCCCCCAGGCGTCTCCCCGTGCGCAGCCCCGCCCGGGCCGCAGGGACGGAGAGTCACCGAGCGCGTCCCACTGTCCGCAGAGTGCCAGCTCGCAAAAGCCCGAAGGCAAAAAACGCATCTTCCTCGGTGTAGTGGGGCGTAAACCTCCTCATTCTCCTCCTCCTCCTCCTCCTCCTCCTCCTCCTCCTCCTCCTCCTCCTCAGTCCTCCTCCTCCTCCTCCTCCTCCTCCTCCTCCTCCTCCTCCTCCTCCTCGGTCCTCCTCGATCCTCGATCCCCGCGGCGGATCTTGGCCCTCTGCGAGCAGCTGCTCTGCGGGCAGTGGGGCGCGCTTTCTCGCGAGCGGTGCGGAGGCGGCGCCGAGGCGCCGAGGCCTTCTCGACGATCTGCACGTTGCCCTGGCGGAGCGCCTCGCCGGCCGGGGGGGGAGCGGGGGCGGAGCGGGGCGCGGCGCCAGGGCGGGGCTCGGAGCAGGAGGGCCAGGAGGGAGGGAAGGGATGAGGGAGGGGAGGAGAGAGGGAGGGAAGGGAGGGGAGGAAGGCAACTCAGGGCAACGGAGAGAGGAGGGAGGGAGGGAGGGAGGGAGGGGGAGGGCCCAGGGAGGACTGGAGGGAGAGGGAGAGCTGGGGGAACAAGGAGCGGAAGAAAAAATCCGAGCAAAAGCGGCTCCAACTGCTGGCGCCGTCCGTCATAGGGACACGCAGGACGATAGGCGTCAGCAGGCTCAGCAGGGGACAGCGACGTGGTCCGCAGAACCTTTGCTCTAGCGAAGGGCAAAGCTAGGGTGATAACGATGTTATGATAAGATCGGCTCAGGATACGCTCCAGGATTTCCTGTGCATCTGGCGGCGCAGCTGGTGCGGAACGTCATGAGACGTGGGAAATGCTGGAAGCCTTGGAAATCTTTGAACGTGTCATTATCTGACCTCGTGCTCCTCTGAGCACTCTCGCACTCTCAAGAGCCGTGCCTGCACGGTGCATCGGCAAAAAAAAAACTGCATGCACACGTCTGGGAGCGGCTACTGTGCCTCGGAGCTCGACCACAGGCAACCTTGGTGCAAATGGCGCGCGAGGGTGATCAGCAGCGCTCACGTGCAGGAAAAAGCGAGGTCAGAGCCAACCAACTCGCCGATCTGCCCCCGCGGCCACGCACCGCCGGCCCCCCTGGCAGAAGCTCGGTGCTGCACGGCAGCGAAAGGGGGAGAGAGGATCGGCGGTGAGCCCGTGGGGGAAGTGAGAAGAGGCGCCAAGGGCGCCCAATTGGGCCCACAGCGCCCCAAAAGGGCCCCAGGAGGCGATACCAGGGGCTCCAGGGGGGCAGCGCTGTTAGGGGATCTCCCCTTTTTTGATTGATATCCTCCATTGGCGGCGAGCCCGGGGGAGGAAGTGAGAAGGGGCGGGCCTCGTCAGAAGGCTCAGAAGCCCCCTGGCCTTCTGAGAAGTGTTCCAAGCCTTCCCCGAAGACAAAAAAGACTTCTCAGAAGGGCGGAAGGCTTCCGAGAAGCCCCGTGGCCTTCTGAGAAGGGCTTCTCCTTCTCACTTCCCCCGATCGCTCGCCGCCGAGAGGGGGAGAGAGGAGACGAGAGGTAACCAGACGGCGACGCCGAGCGCGCAGGCAGGAGGCCAGGGCTGGCGGGACGAGGCACTAGCGGGCAAGCGGGAAGGGGCCAAGGGAATAGAGCAAGCAGGAAGCGGAGGAGGGGAGGAGAGGGGAGGGGAGGGGAGGAGGAGGCAGAGAAAGAGAAGGAGGAGGACAAGGGGAAGCAGGCGCAAGCAAACAGGCCAAAGCCGGAGGCCGGGGGAGAGAAGGGCCGCCCGCGACGAGGGTACGGCCACTGCGGCGGCGGCACGGCGGCAGGCGGCGGCAGGCCAAGTGGTGGCGGTCGGTTGGAGTCGTCGGGGGGGGGGTCGAGGTCGTCGGGAGAAGAAGTTGTTTTGTTTGCCCCGACCCCACTGACCGCATGCCACCACAGCAGGGCTGCGCCGCAGCGCGAGGCGGAGTAGCGACTGGCGGCTGTCAATTCGCACACGACCGTGCGCAGAGTATTCAAATGAGCCTTGCAAGAAAGAGACAGATAAAATGAGTGAAGCGACAGGAGGAGGAGGCGAGGAAGCAGCAACAGGGCGAGCTGGGGCGAGCTGCTGCCTTATGGCTCGGTCCGCCGTTTGAGTGTAAATCCCGCCCCACCGGAGCCCGCCCGCAACAGGCTCACTGGGAAGAGGCCTGCCGCGCTGTGGCTTGGTCGGCGGGGGCAAGCTCTTTCTTTCGATGGGCCCGTTCCAAGATGATGACGGCTGGCTGATGATTGTAGTTGTGATGGTATCACTACCTAAACAGCTTCATGCAGAGCGACAGCCTCGGCAGTGGAGTAAGAAGCTAGCCCTCGAAAAGAAATGCCTTCTAGTAGAAGTCGGATCGTCACTGTGTTGGCCCCATGTCGCCCAGCGGTTTCGATGCACCAAACTGCGGCCGAACACTCCCCCGCTCGCGTGCCGCCATCCGTGTGTACCAAACATTATCGGCAGATATGTGTCTCTGGCTTGCAAACATGATTAACATTCGTCCATCAGGTAGTCTGCTCGGATGTGTCATGCCCGCTGCTACCAGCAAAACAAGTCTATCGCGTATTGGACTGGAAACAATCCAGATTGTAGCGCCTTGGAGATGTCGGAATTGGTGCAATCGACCGTCGGGGTCAAGACGATGGCCGAGCATGTGCTCGGACATGTTCGAAGAGTGATGCACTCGAGCATGTTCGAATCGAGACGCTCGAACATGTTGGAACTTGAGGAGGAGGAGGAGGAGGAGGAGGAGGAGGAGGAGGAGGAGAGGCAGCAGCAGAAGGAGGGGGAGGGGCGCCCAGCCGCGCCTTCTGTGCCCTGGGCCACGTGGGCAGCACTCGCAGCTTCCCCGCCGCACGGGAAGAGGAGGGAGGACGAGGAGGAGGCAATCGGCAGCCGCTCATCAGCACGGGGCACCTCTGAAGAGCCGTGTGAGAACTGGAGACAGGCCTGGCCAGGCCTCTCCTGCACGGCAAAGGGAAGAAATGGGGGGGGAAGTGGGAAGGTGCTGGAAAGGGATGTGGGATGGGGGGGGGAAGAGGGGGGGGGGGCGGAAGGAGAGGAGGGGGGGGGCGGGAGCGGAAGAGGGAAGTCGCGGGGGAGATACGCCAAGAGTGCCCGAAGAGACCCCTAAGAAGGCCCAAGAAGGCTCCGCATCGCCGAACGATCTGTTCAAGACGCCTTCACGGCCTCCTGAAGGCCCGTGAGGCCTGCAAAACGCCCCCAGAGGCCTCCAGAAGCACTGCCAAGGAGACCCCCGCAAGCACAAATCATCAATTTCCCGTTGGTTGTTGCAAGCGTTTGGCGTCCTTCCATCTTCCGCTTCCCGACGCTCTACGACGGCCCTAGAGGCCCCCACTGGTCAGTCCTCCAAGACGTTGCCACAAGGGCCCAAGAGGGCCCCAAGACGGCCCGAGACGCCTCCAAGACAGACCAAGAGGCACCCAAGACGGCTCCCAGAGGGTGCCCAGACGGGGGACCCGAACGGACATCTCGAACCCTCGCTCCCGAGAAGCTCTCAGGAGGCTCCAAGAAGCCTCCAAGACGCCCCCACGAAGCCCCCAGAAGCCATTGGAGGCCCCCAGGAGGCTCCCAAAAAGCCCTCCAAGAGTCTCCCAAAACGCCTCCAAACTGTCCACTAGAGGCGCCCGAAAGCACTCCGAAAAGACCCGGACAAGCATTCCCTCCGCCCCCTGCTCCTCCTCCTCCTCCTCCTCCTCCTCCTCCTTCCTCCTCCTCCTCCTCTCCTCCTCCTCCCTCCATCCTCTCACTGTTCTCCTCCGCCTCGTATTCATATCATTCCACTTGCGTATTGCCCATTCTCGACCTCCTTAGCCCCAACTCCCCTCCTCCTCCTCCTCCTCCCTCCTCCATCCTCCTCCTCATCTCCTCCGCACTCCTCCATCCTCCTCGATGCTTTCTTCATCTACATCATCGTTGCTGCCGGGCGGCACTCATCCTCCTCCTCCATCCTCTCCCCTCCCTCCTCATCCTCTCCTACTCCTCCTCCTCCTCCTGCGCCCTCCTCCTCTTCCTCCTCTCCTCCTCATCCGCCTCCACGTTCCCCTGACTCCTCCTCGTCCTCCTCCTCGTCCTCCTCCTCACCAGTCCTCCCTCCTCAGAACCCTCCTTCGCATACTCCTCCTCCTCTCTCCTCCTCCTCCTCCTCCTCCTCCTCCTCCTCCTCCTCCTCATCATCATCATCCCCTGTCCTCCTCCTCTCCCTCTCCCTCTCCCTCCTCCGCTTCCTCCTCCTCCTCCTCCTCCTCCTCCTCCTCCTCCTCCTCCTCCTCCTCCTCCTCCTCCTCCTCCTCCTCCTCCTCCTCCTCCTCCGCCTCATCATCATCATCATCATCATCATCATCATCATCATCATCATCATCATCATCATCATCATCATCATCATCATCATCATCATCATCATCATCATCATCATCATCATCATCATCATCATCATCATCATCATCAGCATCATCATCATCATCAGCATCATCATCATCATCAGCATCATCATCATCATCATCATCATCATCATCATCATCATCATCATCATCATCATCATCATCATCATCATCATCATCAGCATCATCATCATCACCACCACCATCATCATCATCATCAGCAGCAGCATCATCATCATCATCAACATCAGCATAATCAGCATCATCATCGTCATCATCATCATCATCATCGTCATCATCATCAGCAGCATCAGCATCATCATCATCATCAGCAGCATCATCACCATCAGCATCAGCATCATCATCATCATCATCATCAGCATCAGCATCAGCATCAGCATCATCATCATCATCACCACCACCACCACCACCATCATCATCATCATCATCAGCCGCAGCAGCATCATCATCAGCATCATCAGCATAATCAGCATCATTATCATCATCATCAGCATCATCAGCAGCATCATCAGCATCATCAGCAGCAGCATCCACATCAGCATCAGCATCATCAGTATCATCATCAGCAGCAGCATCATCATGACAATCAGCAGCAGCAGCATCAGCATGATCATCATCTTAATAGTCGTCATCAACATCAGCAGCAGCATCATGATCCTCAGCATCAGCATCAGCATCATCATTATCAGCATCATCATCACCATCATCATCATCAGCATCAGCATCATCATCATCCTCATCATCAGCATCAGCAGCATCATCATCATCATCATCATCATCATCATCATCATCAGCATCATCATCATCATCAGTATCATCATCATCATCATCATCATCATCATCATCATCATCATCATCATCATCATCAGCAGCAGCAGCAGCAGCATCATCCCTCATCATCATCCTAATAATCCTCATCATCATGCTCCCCCCTCCCCCGCGTGCTCTTCCCCCGGTGCTCCGCAGCCTCACTTCGACCACGTCCTCCCTATCCTCCTACTTTTCCTGCCCCTCCTCATCCCCCTCCTCCGAGTCCTAATTCTTCTCCTGCCCCTCCGACTCCAATTCTCCTCGTCATCATACTGCTCCTTCCCCCCCCCGTCCTCCCCCTGCCCCGTCCTCCCCTCCTTATCCTCCTCCGCATCCTCCTCCTCCCCCTCCTGCTGCTCCACCGCGCACTCCGCCTCCTCCTCCTCCTCCTCCTGCTCGTCCTCCCCCTCCTCCTCCTCCTCCTGCTCGTCCTCCCCCTCCCCCTCCCCCCCTCGGAAAAAGAGCACGAGAGCAACGGGGCAGACGGGAGGGGCACGACAGGAGGGAGGGGCACCGGCGCGCCTCGAGGCCCAGGCGATTCCAGCAGGCCGGCGTCGCCAACTCCTCGGCACGGGGCGCGGCGGGATCAGGACCTCACCAGCCTGCTTGGACCTGGTTGGCTCCTCCTCCTCCTCCTCCTCCTCCTCCTCCTCCTCCTCCTCCTCCTCCTAAGAGGGGAATGGTATGGGGTGGGGGAACATCGACCTTGAATCGGCGAAATTTCGCCAGTAGATCGGCGATAGGCCCCCGACAGTGAAGCCGCACGTTCCTGTGCAGGGTGGGGCTATCGGGCCCCTTATTGGAGATCGATCAGCGATTAGGAGTCGAGGCCTCTCCCCCTATGCATATTCCCCCCTTATCGTTGCCCCTGATTCTCCTGACAAGTAACTCCTCCCTGCCGCACCACCAGACGTGTCCGCAGGCTGGTACAAGCGTTTCGCTCGAGACTTCCACACCGTGTACGATCCCGAAGCCGAAAGTGTTCAATGGTCACACGGATGGGAGCCGAGCCATTTTCAGAATGGGGCTCTCGCCCTAGCTCGGCACGCATTCGTCGGTAGTTACACGGATGGGGAGCAGCACCTTTTCAAGCTTGGGCTCTCGCCCCAACGCCGCGCACAATTCTAGAAAAGCCTGCCGCCACTTCGTACAGAGGCTGGCTCCCTTTCAAGACGAGACTCTCGCCCGAGCGACGCGCACGTTCGTCCGAGCAGCTTGCGGCCATGTTCGGAATGGCGGGCGAGCAGGGGTCCCAGTGGGGCTCTCGCCCGAGACTTCCTCGACCCGTGCGAAAAGAAGAAGTGCGATCAGTGTGCAACCGCTGCACGCAGGGAGGCCGCTGTTCGAACTGGGGCCCTCGCCTTTCATGGGGGGCCACACGCGAACCCTACCCCTACCCCCCACGATTTCTGAGGCGGAGGGGGAGGTTCACTTCATTCGGGAGCTCCCGAACGAAGTGAACCCCACCCTCCCCCTCAGAAATCGTGGGGGGTAGGGGTAGGGTTCGCGTGTGGCCATTTCAGTACCACACACGCTCGTCGGAACAGCCTGCAAGAGCTGCCCACCTCAGCGCCGCGCACTCCACAGCCTGCAACAGCTGCACGAAGGAAGGACGGTTCCTGTCAAAATGGGGCTCTCGCCACCGCGCCGCGCACACTCGTCGCCAAAACCCTGCAGAACAGTGTTCAGGGAGGTAGGACGGCTCGAGTTCCAAAATCGGGCACTCGCCTGCGACGTCCTGGGGTGTCCTTACCAGACATGTAAACTTGCGCAACTGCTACACGGATGGGGGGGGCGGTTCCTTCTGAAAACGGTTGTCTCGCTGGACACCTCGTTAAACTTTGTGATCACATTTTCTTGTCGCATCTGTCACGCTCTGAAAGAAAGATGCACTGACTGCAACTACTTTTCAAAACGGAACTCTCGTCTCAACGGAAGGCCGATAGATAAGCCATCGCCTGTTCGTATTCCCAGAGGGCGCACCTTGCAGTGAAAAGGAAAGCTTAATGGGGACTCATGGGGGAGGAATTCGGGGCGAGGGGGCGTAGGGCAGTATTGCAACATTGTTGTTGCATTTGGGTTTGCTCTGGTCCTTCTTGTCCTCCTCCCTTCTCCTGTTCCTCCTCGTCCTCCTCCTGCTCATCCTCCTCCTTCTCCTCCTCCTCCCCCTCCTGAAAGCACTGACCACTGAGATAGGTCCTGCGCTGCGGTCATGGCCTCCTCGATGTGGCCGTATTCGAGGGCAAGATTGAATCGCGTCTGGTTGTCCGTCACGAAATGGAGGGCTACCTGATAAGCCGCTTGGGGAGATGGCGGGCAGGTAGAAGGCTTAGATTGCGATGTCCCGTCCACCCCATCCCTCCCCCCTCGCGCTCCTCAGGATGCAAGGGCCTTGGAGGCCCATGTCTAAGCTTCTCGAGCGGGGCGCGGCCAACGAGAGTGCTCAAGGATGGACCGAGGAGGCAAGGATGCAAGGGTACCCTTAGGAAGGTTGCCCATCATTACTATTCAGGCGGATGGTATGGACAGAACGGTGTAACTTCTCAACTTTAACGGGCCGCGTCCGCGACAATAAGATCCCGGTCGTGCGCTGTGCAATCCCTGAGCACACGCACGCGCACACTGAGAACCCCATCGATGACTTCGTGATCACTCCAGGGCGAGAAGAAAGAGGCCGAGACAACGTGAGAGAAAGGAGTCCGCCGATCCGGCGTGTTTCAAAAACCCTCAGAACAGCCTGAACCTCAATTCCTGAATTTCAGCTCTACTGGGGGGCTCGGTGCTAGCTTGCACAATCGCGCGAGCACACGCAAGCGAGAACGTGCGCCAAGTGCCCCTGGCCCAAGGTACCCCTGGGCCTGGGTGCTCGCAGAGTGACAATGGGGGGTGGGTGCTGGGAGTGGCTGTGCTGGGGTAGGGGGCGGGGGGGGGGTGTTCGATTCCATCCCCGGAGCGGAATCGGAGCTCCAGCTCACTCGGGGACGGCCCCCTCGCCCAGGAGGGCCCCGACATGGGCCAAGAGGGCCCCGAGTCGCCGAACGATCGAGACAAGGCGCCCAAGATGTCCCCAAGACGGCTCCAGAGTCCTCCAAGATGCCTTCAGAAGCCCTGAAAAAAGGCCCCCAAAAGAAGGCCCCAAGAAGCAAAATGTGTCCCATTCCAAACGTACAAGTTTAGCAGATTCGCCTCAGGGGCCTTCAGAGCGTCGCAAACGCCCCAAGAGAGCCACAAAACGGCCCAAGAAGCCGCCAAGAGGGCTCCAAGACGGCCCAGGAAGGGCCCAAGATGCCCAGGAGGCCCCCAGAAAGGCCCAAGAGGGCCCCAGAACGGGCCCAAGAGGCGCCTGAGAGCGCCAAGACGGCGGAAGAACTGCCGAAGACGGCCCAAGAAGCCCCCGGAGGCCCCCAAGAGGCCTGAAAGGGTCCCACGACGCTTCCAACAGGTCCCGAAGAGGCCCGTTAGAAGCCCCCTAAAGGCCACCAAGAGATTCCAAAAATGCATCCAAGACGCACGCAAACAGCTCTAGCACAAAGCTTTTCAGAGAGAGCGCCAAATCAAAGAGGTGTCAACCCAAAGAGGGCCAATGCCTGGCCCCAAAGAAACTTTCCAACAACCGCCGAACATTTCCAACAACCGGCGAAAATCTCCTCATCCTCATCACGCCCCACCTTTCCCCCCCCCCTTTTTCCATTTCCCGCTTCCTCCTGCTCTTCCTCATCCTCAGCATCCTGCTACTCCTGCCCTTCCCACCCCGCCGTCGCCTCCGTTCCCAATCCTCATCATCATCACCATCAGCATCATCATCATCATCATCATCATCATCATCATCATCATCATCAGAATCATCATCACCATCATCACCATCAGCATCACCATCATCAACATCATCATCATCATCATCGTCATCATCATCATCACCGCTCGCCGTCGTCGCTGGTCATGACCGCCATCGCACGCTTCCAGCGGCAACGGAAACGTCCCGGATCGGCGGCACTGGCCGGAGGCCACTACAATAAAAACAAAAAACTGGAGACACATACAAGGAAGAAGGGAAGGAGGGAGGGTAGGAGGGAAAGAGAGAGAAGCAGAGAGAGAGATTGACAACAAAAACGAGAGAGAAAGAGAGAGAGAGAGGGAGAGAGCGCGTATGGCCCGAACGGCTCACTGACGTACACGGTTTCAGCTTGCGTAGCTCCTTGGCCAGAGTTGAACCGCCGCGCCGTTGCCAAAGCCGACCGACGAGGGCCATGCTGCCAGGGCTGCGCATGCCTTCTATCCTGCGGCGCCCTCGGCAGCCCCCCCCCTCGACAACACCAACCGATGAGCGAAGAAGCGACTTAAGCGACTTTGGGTGCCCCGCGGCGGAACGTTTCCACCAAGACGACGCGCACGTCGCGCGCCGTGCCGGTCGCGCCCAAAGGGTGGGCGCCCCCTCGTCCAGCCTGCGAGCGGCCAACGCCACGGAGTCCAGGAGCGGCGGGCTGCGGGCTTCCACGCCGGAACGGTGCCGCCGAGAATTGGCGGCGAGCGAGGGGGGGGGGGAATGAGAAGGAGAGGGCCTTCTCGGAAGGCTCGGAAGGCCCCCCGGCCTGCTGAGAAGTTTGCTGGGCCTTCCCCCGAAGACAACAAAAAAACTCCTCGGAAGGCGCAGGGGTTTCTGAGAAGTCCCGCCGCCTGCTGAGAGGGCCTTCCCCTTTTCATTTCCACCCCTCGCTCCCCGCCGACAAGAGGCCCCGAGGCCATATGCTGAGAGGAGCTACGCTCATTTGTCAGCCGACAACTCGCCCAACCATGGTTTGTGGATGTGGGCGGCTGGGGTGGCCAGGCCACCGCGGCCGCATAGAGCGAACAAGGGCGAGGCCCAACATGCCCCGCGGGCGGGGATACAGTGCCCACCGGTGAAAACCAGGGACCGCCCCAGCCCGAGGTAGCGAGAGGAGGGGGGAGGGGACGAGGAGAGGAGCTGGGGGGGAGGGGACAAGGGGAAAGAGGAGGACAAGGGAGGGAGGAGCAAGGAGGGAGAGAGAGAGGGCGAGAGAGAGGGGGGGAGGGGAGGGCCGCAGGGGAAGAGGGGAGGTGACGGCGGCGGGGAAGGGGGGGGAACGCAGCCTCTCGAAGCCCCGTTCGCGTGCGGCCCCACCAGGGTTGGGGGGGGCAAGGGCCGCGGCGCGAGATCCAAGCGCGAGAGCAGTGTCGGCGCCGCGCCGCGCCGCGCCACAAGGCGACGGCTCTCCAGGGCGGCGGCGGCGGCGGCGGCGGCACTGCCAGGCGCCACTCACCGGGGTCTCGCGCTCACTTTGCGATTGCCTCGCGACCACCTGCGGAATTTCTGCAGCGCCTAGGGTCGCGACGTCATATGGGGGGGGGCGGGGCGGGGTGTAACGGAACGCCCCCACACGTAACGCCCCCCCGCCGTGAGGCTCCGGCACCACCGCCGCGCCCCCCCCCCCCCTCGCGCAAGACTATGGTGAGCGACGAACGACGAGCGACGGGGCCCTTGATGAGCCACGGGGGCCGCGGCGAGACGCCGTCCCAGGACGCGTCACGCCGCAGGTCCCCGATAGCGCCGGCGCAGCGTCGTCGGCGGTGGCCTTGCCAGGCGCCGCGTTTGCATGCCATCGTCGACAGAGAAACGGCATCGGCGGAGCCTTGCTGGGCACTGCGGAGGCCACTGGCTCGCCACAGGACGGAGCACGCGGCGAGGCAGCAGCTGCCGAACTCCGAGCGCCGTCGGGGCAGCCAGGGACGTCCAGGGTGCCCGGCATGATCAGGCTGAGGACCAGCAGGAAATCCTGCGCGGCGGAAGACTGGACAGCGAAACGCCCGTCCAGGTCGTCCAGGACGACCGCGATGTGCACGAGGACGCAACTGGGGGCGGCTGGATGTCTGCGCGAACCCCGGCGGCCAGGGCGGCCAGGCCCCTCGCCACTGCTGGGCGCCCGGGCCGCGCGGGCGCGGGGCGAGGCGTTGGCGGGCGCTCCACGGGGCCCGCGGCGCCACCCCTCGCCCTCGCGCGCCGTCCGCGGCCGCCGATGCGCATCTGCGCTGGCGGCGGCGCAGGCGCTACCCCGAGTGGTATGGTCAGGTCGGGCATGTCCGCCTACTGGCGGATTCTGTAAGAAACATATTTGACATAAAACCCGTCCACCAACAATAACAAAAAACAAACAATAACACAAAAATGAAAAATCCCACCAGCCCTCTGGGCGTCGGTGGTTTGGGGAATTTCCTCTTCTTAACTAAGGTTTTGGCCCCATGTTGGCCTCCTGAGGGGGGGGGGGCCCTAATCAGTCACCCCCCCTTTTGTGATCGATCTTACCTTAGATGGCCCAAAGATGGCCCCCAAGGCTCCCAAGGGTGCCCCAAGAGGGCCCCAAGAGGTGGCCAGGAAACCCCTAAGAGGCCCCCAGGATGCCCCCAAGAGGCTCCCAAGAGGCCCCCAAGAGGCCCCAAGAGACCCCCCAGAGGCACCTAAGATGCTCCAAGAGGCCTCGGCGAGAATGCCAAATCACTGATTCTACCAAGGTTTTAGCCACATGTTGGCCTCTTGGGGGGGCACTGATTAAGATGACTCCAAGAGCGCCTGGGAGAGCCCAAGATGACCTTCAAGATGGCTCAAGATATCCCAAGATGTCTCAGAATGGCCCCCACGATGCTCCAAGATGCCCCAAGACCGCTCCAAGACGGCTCCAGGTGGCCGAAGAGCTCCCCCAGGAGGCCCCGAAGAGGCCAAAACCTTGGGAAATTCGATGTGTTTGGCTTTCTCGCCTTTTCGCTTCCGATGGCCATCCGAGGCCTCAAGATGGCTCCAAGATGGCCCAAGAGGGCTCCAAGAGAGGCTCCAGAGAGCGCCAAGACGGCCCCAAGAGCGCCTAAGAGCGCTCCAAGATGGCCCCAAGAGCGCCCCAAGAGGCGATTGTTTGGGCTCCCGATGGGCAACGCTAACTAATGTTCGCTTCTTGTTTGATCGATGTCCCCCAAGATGGCCCCGAGAGCGCTCCCAAGGCTCCCAAGAGCGTTTCAAGAGGGCCCCAAGAGGCGCCCAGGAGGCCCCAACAGGCGCCCAAGAGGCCTCCAAGATGCTCCCAAGAGACCCCCAAGAAGCCCCAAGAAGCTCTCCGAGGCACCCAAGACGCTTCAAGAGGCCTCCACTGGGGGACCCTTCCTCTGTGCGCTGCCCACTTCCCTGATCGAGGCAATTCCTCTGGGCATCGTTTCTGGATGGGCTGGTGGGGTTACTTTTTGGTTCGCGGCTCCAAGGCGAGGGACAGGGAGCGGGCACAACGTCCGGGGCGCGGTACGATGTAAATTGGCCGCAGTGACTGGTGGGGGTACTTTTTGTTCAGCGGCCCGCAAGGAAGAGTCCAGAGGGCGGAGTAACCGAGGCTGGGGCACAGCGCAAGATAATTGGCGCCAGACAGCGCAGAATGCACCTGCAAGACAAATTAGGAAAAGAGGCGGCCACAGGTGGGCAACCGGCGAACACAAACTGGGCCCGCGGGTGGGGAGCCAGGCCGAAAACCGAACGAGAAAAACCGGGCAGGCAGGTGCTGCGCCGGCCCGCGGCAAGAGGCGGGACGCCAGCAAGGACCACTGGACAGATGCCAGCGGACCGAGGGCATCTGGAGGCACCGACGCGAAAAAGACCCAAGACTGCGCGGTACCTGTACCCGTGCACCCGCAGAAGGCCTAGAAACGCAGTGGACTCACTCACTTGGCACGCTGCGCTTACCTGACTTCCTACTGGTGGGGTTACGCGAAGCGTCTAGAATTCAAATAAACAGACAAACAAAAACTGAAAATCGTCCCCATGGGCTATTTCTGAATCTTCCTCCTGTAGGTGGACATGCCCGACTTGCTGGCAGCCGGACGCGACCGCTGGCCGCGAGGTGCAGGAGGTCCACGGCAGCCCGAGCAGGGCCCGGCGGAGGCGCGGCTGGGCCGGCGGCGCGGGGGCTGCCTGGGCTCCCCGGCGGAGCCCGAGGCGGAGGGGGTCTCGGCGAGGACGCGGCCGTCGCCGCCGTCGCCCGCCTCGTCGCCGCCAGCACCGCCGGCGTTGTGGCCCCCGCTCGCGCTGGCCGAGGGCTGCCCCGCCGGCCCGCGCGGGGGCGCGGCGGGCCTCTGGCCGCGGGGCCGCCGAGGGCGCCTGCCGCGCGGGGGCCGCCCCCGACCTCCGGAGGTGGGCGCGCCGGGGAGGGCCGCGGGGGGGCGGGCTCGTGGCGCGGGTGCCCGCGCGGCGGGGCCCGAGGGGGGCCGCGGAGCGTCCCGGGCCAGGAGGGCCACGGCGGCACGGCAGGCGGCGCGACGGGCACGCCCGCCGCCTGCCGGCCCGGCGGGGGGGCGCGAGTGGCTGGGGCACGCAGGGTGGCCGGACGCGCCCCCACGGGGGCCCAGGCAGCCCAGGGCGCCCCCCCGAGGCATGGCACAGGACAGCCCACGGCGGTTCAGGAGTGCCTCCAACATGCCGCCAAGAATTCCGGCGAGGCCGCCCGAGAACGGCTCCTGAGTGGCCTCGGAGCCCACTGAGGACGCCCCCGAGAAGCCAGCATCACTCCAAAACCTGAATAACCAAATGAGGTGCGCCTTCTCGCCTTTTCGCTTCCAATGGGCTTCTTTCTGCAGTCGCAAGATGGCTCCAAGACGGGGCAAGAGAGCCCCAGGAGGGGCCCAAGAAAGTTCCAAGACAGCCCGAGAAGCGCCCAAGACTGCCCCCAAGTATTCGGTATTCGATCGGGGGCGCAATTGGATATGCTCAGGCTGATCCCGAGCTTCGGTGTGACGGCTGTCCCCCCCCTCTTTGTTCTACTGAATGCTCTTGCGCTTCCCTGATCGAACCAACTCGCTTTAATATGATTTCCCTGCTCGACGCAATTCGTTTAAGCATCGTTTCTCGATGGACTGGCGGAGATATGCGAAGCGTCCAGAATTTGCGCCACCCCCTCCCCGCTCAGAGGCGGCGACCGCCTGTGCCTGTCGAGGCACCCTGCAGGGCTGCCCGGCAGAGGTATCCCCAGGGGCGGAGGTTGGGAGAGAGTAGGCGGCGAGCGAGGGGGGAAAGTGAGAAGGCGCGGGCCTTCTCAGAAGGCTCGGAACTCCCCTGGCCTTCTGAGAAGTGTCCTCAGTCTCCCCCGAAGACACAGAAAACCTCTCAGAAGGCGCGAGGGCTTCTGAGAAGCCCCGCCGCCTTCTGAGAAGGCCTTCTCCTTCTCACTCCCCCCCCCCTTACGCTGCCGAAGAGAGAGAGAGAGAGGGAGAGAGAGGGAGAGAGAGAGAGAGGGAGAGAGACAGAGAGAGAATGAGAGGGGGCGAGAGGGGAGGGGGGGGCAGCGCGGAGGAGCCAACTGGCGAGGGCTGCCGCCCTCGCAGGGAAGAGAGGAGGGCGGGGTGCGATAGGAGAGGGGGAAGAGGAGAGAGGAGGACGAAGAGGAGGGCCCGAGAGGGCCCCAAGATTGGCGGCGAGCCAGGGGGGGAAGTGAGAAGGGGGCGGGCCTTCTCAGAAGGCTCGGAAGGTCCGTGGCCTTCTGAGAAGGTTCCTGAGTCTTCCCCGAAAACACAGAAGGTTCTCTCCTTCTCATTCCCCCCCCCCTTGCTCGCCGCCGATAAGAGGTCACAAGGCCGTACGTTGAGACGGGCTATGCTTAGCTTTCTACCGACAATTCGCTCACGCATTGTTTGTGGATGTGCTGGTACAGAAATACAGAGAGTCAGCAACTAATCATGGAGGTGGATGGAGACGGAGAAGGAGGAGGCCAGGAAGAGAGGACGAAGGCGAGGGAAAGGGGGAGGCAAGGAGGTGAAAGGGAGGAGGGCAGAGGGACAGTCAGGACGGAGGTTGCTTGCCAGCCTTGTCCCTTCCGAAACTTGACTAAGTCAGCCACCGCAGACGGCCAGAAGATATAGAGAGAGCATGGAAACAGAGAAGAGAGATCGCCACGACGAGGGAAGAACAATGCAGTATGATGCCAGTCTGGGATCCCACTGCGCGATCAGCATAGCAGAGGTGGGGGAAGGGTGGTAGATGGAGTACTGCACACATCCACCTCATCATCCTCGTTCTGCTCATCCGTATCCTCCTCGTCCTCCTCGTCTTCCTCGTCGGTATCATATTTTTGGTCATGATTTCCACTACTTCATCCCCACCCTCAAAGAGGCATAACGGAAGAAGCAGGATTCGACTAGACAGGCCACCTGTACGTGTGCCTGATATGGTCCACCGCCCCTGTGTGTGCATGTTTGCATGCTCGCATAATCGAAAAACTTCTACGCTTATGCGCTTGTGCACGCGTGTGCACTTGGTCTCGTTGCCATTGCCATCTAATTCCTCTCAAAAAGAAACCCTGCGCGACCCCAATCCGGGATCGACGGAAGCAATACAATGCGAAGTACCGCTTGGCTTTGCCTCGCATTGTGTTGCATTGCGTCACATTGCTTTGATTTGCGTTGCATTGCTTGGCGTTGCTTGGCAGTGGTTGGAGCAGTTGCTTGTCGATGCTTGGCGTTACTTAGCATTACGGTATTGCTTGGCGTTGGTTGGTTGATATAGTCGCTTAGCAGTGCGTGGCATAGCGTGGCACTGCGTGGCATTGCTTGGATTTGCTTGGCACTGTTTGGCATTGCTAGGTGCCGTTGCGCGACATTGCTCAGCATCGTTTGGCGCTGCTCGGCATTGCTCAAAACTGCTCGGACTCGCTTGGCATTGGCTTGCACTGCTTTGCGCTGCTCGGCACCGCTCGGCACTGCCTGAGAGCCCCGAGGGGCCCCGAGGGACCCCAAGACCAGAGAGCCCGAGCGAGGAGCCCGAGGAGCTCCGGCGAGGCCCCAGGGAACCCCAGGAGGGAGAAAGACCAGGGAGCCCGAGGAACCCCGGGGAGGGCCTCTGGACCTGGACCCACGCAGGGCCTAAAGCGGGGAACGACGAGAGCTCTGCAACCATGCGGGGGCGCGCAGACATGAAGGGGCCCAGGGGCACACAAATGAAAACACATAGACAGCAGGATTCCCCATACGTTCCCGCATGTTCTGGGTGTTTGCCTTCCCCCCCACTTCCCATATGTTCCAGTATTTTCCTGAGGATCGACGACTACTTGTGTCTGTGTTTTTTCCCTCCTAAAAAATGGGGAACGACAAGTGCTCTGCAACCATTCGGGGGCGCGCAGACATGGATTAGCGATCCATGGATTTGGCGCGCGGTCGCCAAATCCATGGATCGGGGGAGGTGCCCTCCCCAAAACGCGGCCGGTGCCGCCTCGCTCGGCGGCGGAAATCCGCGGTTTCCCATGGAAACAGGACCCGTCGCTAATCCGCGCCCCCTTGATCCATGTTTGCGATCGCCTGAACCATGCAACCAACACTGTACCGCCTGGGTGCCAGCCCAACGGGCGAGCACAAAGAAGTCTGGGCGTGCCGTGCCTGCGGCATGCGCACCTGCGCGCTATCGCTGGCGCGCGAACTCGTGTGTGCACGTGCGTGGACGCGGCCGGCGATGTGCACTGCTGTATGTCATGCGCCGCATTTGCAGGCAAGGATAGAGCCAGAAAGCCCAAGAACACAGAGAGAGGTGAGAGTATGCGTCTGCGCGGCAGAAGCGCCTCAGGGAAGCCCTTGTTCTTCAGGTAGCCGATCACTGCGTTCCCGCACAGCCTCGCCAACCGGCACACCCGCCCTCCCCACACGTGCACTGTGAAAGCTCATGCGAGAACACTCACATAAAGAAACCGTAGCATCGGGCTCCGTGACGTGCGTCCCAGGGCTGCACGTGACTCCTCCTGCCCCTGCTGGGAAATCAAAGGGAGCCCGTGGGGCACTCCTGTGCACAGGGCGCGCCCGTCGCGCGTGGTTTGCCCGTGTAGCCATGTGTCGCTCTCGGACGTAAGCATGCATCGGAAGGGACCCAAGCGTAACTGCAGCGTTTCGGCTGGCAAAACAGAATGCGAATCCAGATCTGCACTCAGGGACGCCCCTCATGCTCCTCCTCGCGGGCGGGCGAAGGGCAAGCTCCGCTGCTGCACCGCAAGCGGAGTCGCGCCACCCCGTTCCTCTCGTGCTGGCAGGGCTCTGAAGAGCCATCCCCCGAGAGCTACCTTGCCCGCCCCCGCCCCATCCCTCCCCCACTCCCCCCACCCCCCACCTTCTCCTGCTCCCTTTACCCCATTCCACCCTTCCCCTTCGTGCCTCCCGCTCCTCCCTTCCCCCCTTCCCCTGCCTGCTCCGTTCCCTAGTGCCCCCCCACTTGCCCCACTCTCCCTCCCTCCTCCTCCGTCCTGCCCCCCGTCTGTGCCCCTCCCCCCTCCCCTCCCTTCCCTCTCTCCTCCCACTCCCCTCTCCCCACCCGCGCCCAGACACCTGCCACGGCTGCCCTTGCCCACCTTCCCCATCCTCCCCTCCCCGCCCTCCCTCCTCCCAATCTGCGTGCTCGGTCCCTGCTTCCCTGCCTCCTCCAAGTGCGCCTAACTTCGCTGTTCGCGCTGCGCGAAGCGCGAAGCGCGAAGCGCGAATAACTTCCCGCTCTCGTGCCGCCCCACGAAGGGGGAGGAGGAGGAGGAGGAGGAGGAGGAGGAGGAGGAGGAGGAGGAGGAGGAGGAGGAATCGGAGCCGAAGCGCGAAGCGCGAAGCGCGAATCACTTCGCACCCTCGGGGGCGCCCTTGCCCAGATCTCCGTCCTCGGCCCCCGGCGTCCCTGCCCCCTCCCCACCCTGAGAGGCGGGCGAGAGCCCCCCCTCCCCATCGAGCAAGGAGAGGCGGAACGGGACGGGGGGGTCACCAGAGAGACGGGGCAGCAGAGCGGCTCCTGATCCTCCCCATCGTCCTCGTCATGCCCCTCCTCCTCCCTCCTCCTCCTCCTCCTCCTCCTCCTCCTCCTCTCTCTCCCTCTCCTCTCCTCCTCCATCATCATCACATCATCATCATCATCATCATCATCATCATCATCATCATCATCATCATCATCATCATCATCATCATCATCATCATCATCATCATCATCATCATCATCATCATCATCATCATCATCATCATCATCATCATCATCATCATCATCATCATCATCATCATCATCATCATCATCATCATCATCATCATCATCATCATCATCATCATCATCATCATCATCATCATCATCATCATCATCATCATCATCATCATCATCAGCAGCATCAACATCATCATCATCATCATCATCATCATCATAATCATCATCATCATCATCATCATCATCATCATCATCATCATCATCATCATGCCCTCATCATGCCCCTCCTCTCCCTCGTCACCCTGGCCCCTCCTCCTCCGGCGTTGGCGGTCGGAGCTGCCCCCCCCCAGCAGGAAGGCCTCAGCCTGACCAGGAGGTGCAGGAGAGGGGATCAGCTCCTCTTGATTCGGGGGTCTCCGAACGAACATCAGTACTGCATCCCTCGCTCACTGGCCGCCTGCCGTGCGCGATCCAAGTCTTCACGTCGTTGAACCTGGCGCCGCGGGCTGAGCCAAGCCAGAACCGAGCATGCCGCACCCCCGTCTTCGTCCCCGCCTCTCCCGCCTCCCCCATCCACATCCCTCCACCCATTATCCGCCCCCGTCTCGTACTCATCCTCCTCATCCCCTTCCCTTCACCTTTCTCCACCCTCCTCCCTCCTCCAGCCTGATTCTGCTCAAAATTGTCGTTTTAAGTAATGTTGTTCCTGCCGCTGCTTGGTTCGTTACGTCGCTGAGCGACCTGGCACCCTTCGTCATCATCCTCGTCCTCCTCCTAACTTCCCAGCGTTGCAGAATCAAAGGCAGGAAGCCAGCTGGGGGCAACACATCCGGCGGCAGAGTTGGCTGCGTAAGTGAGAATACCTCCCTCCAACATCGTCATGTCATCAAGGGCCGCCTGCCCGAAAAGAAAGTATGTGACATGATGCGACTGGCCAGGCCCCTGTTCAATGCCATCCCACCAGCGGAGACGTTGAATCAAGAGGTACACCCAGCTAGAAAGTACCCGATCAGCCCCAGACCGACCGAACCGACCAGACAGTAGGATGATCACCTGCACGACAGCGCATTGCTCCTGCAGCGATGCAACCTATCCTAGGCAGCAGGGACGCGCATGCCTGGGCCAACTGAGAAGCACTGGGCAAAAAGAGGAGGCGAGGCCTGCCCGAATCCCACCTGGTCTAACTAGTTAACTTGAAAGCGACCAGCTGATGCTTACGCTGGGGGAGCCCAAGGACCACAGCAACTCGAACGACTGCCACCCCGGATACGCAGCGCCCTTGCGCGGCGAGGTGCCCATCCAAAGGCGGCGGAAGAACGTAATCCGAATTTATCGCGTGCGTCCGCGCTCTTACAAGATAACTCCAAAAGGCAATCCGGGAAGCGCAAGTGCACTCCACAGCCTCGGCGACAGCACCCTCCCAGGCGGAATGGAATCTGAAGAGCAAGGCGCCGAGCCGCAGGTCGAACGTCGCGCTTGCTCACGAATGTAAGCTCGGCCTACCGCGCAAAATCACATATGCACGGAGGCCGTGAAGCACAAATAAACTCGTCGGGGGCACGGGGGTCCCCCTGAAGACCCCACTCAGATGCAGCATGGCGGACTGACTCGCCCACTCAAGATGGAAGCGGGTCAGCCGTCGGCCTGGGTAAATAGAAAGTCACAACTGGCTCAGTCCAGAGAACATGCCCGCATGCGGACAGCACCCGAATGCGCCATATCATTCAACACGACCGCGCGCAAAACCGAAGACGCGAGCAAGCGAGACAGCTTTCAAGGATTGCGTCAAGGATTGCGTTTTTCGGGGTCTGCCGAACCGTCGAGAACGTCGCTGGAAAAAAGGACATCGCCCCGCGTTGTGCCAACAGGTTGATGCCAGCCCTGGGGCCCTCTCGCCGCAGCGTCGGACCCAGAAGGCGCGGCGCAAACGCCACGGCAAACGGAGCGGGGGAGAGGCAGGATTTAGAGTTAAGTCGGGCGTGTCCCCCTACAGAGGGATTTTCGACGAAACATATAAAATACTCAACAAGTATTCTAAAATGGTCAAAAAATACTCAAAAAATAATCCCCATACTATTTTTTGACTATTTTTGAATTTCTCCCCTGTAGATGGACAAGCCCGATTTAAATTTAGAGGCATGGTCCTGATGTCCCCAGGGCATCGACCAAGGAGGGCCCCAGTAGTGCACGTCCGCGAGGTCACCTGGTGGCCGAGCATCTGGCGCCATGGCAAACACGCTCTGAGCGGATCCTGAATCGCCCCCTGTCGCGCGCACCTCCGCCGCCGCTGGGGCGGACGCACCCGCGCCCACATCCATTTGCCCTTGTGGAGCCACGACGACGTCACCCGGCAGCGATTGGACCGCCGCCTTCCGCCCTGCCGCATCCAACCGTTCACGATCCATCCGTCTCCCTGGCTCGCGCGAGCGCGCCGCGACGACACCCCGACACTCCAGGCGGCCCATGACGGGCCCGCTCGTCTGCACCGCCCTCTGCGTCGCGCGGGCAGCGCGCCCGAGCCTCGGCTCGGAAGGAGCCCTGGCGGCGCGCCCGGGCCCAGGGAGAAAGCGCGCCAGCCCATCCGTCCGTTCGCGCCTGGCCGTCGCCGGCGCTGCGCCCGGCGGCGCCACCCCGGCCCTGCGCAGCTCCACCTGCACCTGCCGCGCCCCGCGCAATTGACGCGCCCTGCCCAGCCGCCAAAACCTGGGCGCGTGCGTTCTCGTCTGGGCTGCTGGCGCTGGCGCTGCGCCCGGCGGCGCCCCCCCTGACTACCTACCAGACCACCCCAACCCAACCCGAAGACCCGAATTTCGGGTTGGGGGGGGTAAGGGTTCCACGCGTGTTTTTTCGATGTTTCCCGACCCCCCCCCACTAGAAATCGAGGGTAAATCTGAGCCTTCGGGTTGGGTTGGGGTGGTTTGGTGGGTGGTGACCCCCGGCCCCGCGCCGCTCCGCCTGCACCTGCCGCGCCCGCGCCGCGGCGAGGCCCCGCGCCTCCCCGGAGCTGCTCTGTCCGCAGAGCCAGGATGGTCAGGCTGGGGCCGGAAGCCCGAGGGCAGCCCGGCCAGACAGTTCCCGGCGGCGAGCGAGGCGGGGAAGTGAGAGGCAGAAGGCCTTCTCAGAAGGCGGCGGCGGGACTTCTCAGAAGCCCCTGCGCCTTCCGAGGATTTTTGTTTGTTGTCTTCGGGGGGAGGCCCAGCAAACTTCTCAGAAGGCCGGGGGCCTTCCGAACTTTCCGAGAAGTTTGTTGCGTCTTCGGGGACGGCTGGGAAAACTTCTCAGAAGGCCCGGGGGCTTCCGAGCTGTCTGAAAAGACCTTTTCCTTCTCACTCGCCCCTCGCTCCCCGCCGAAGGACGGTCAGGCTTGGATTGGAGGTCCGAGGGCAGGCCTGCCAGACGGTTCAGCGAGTCCACGCTAAATCTCTCCTCCCACGGCGGTTTCCCGATCGCGCAACGGCAGCTCTCCCACGGCGGTTTCCCGATCGCGCAACGGCAGCTGGTTTGCCGCGGCCCGCCGACCAGGTGCTCGTCGCTCGTCTCGGCTCTGCCCAGCCAGGCGCCCATGCTCCTGTGGGCCCTGTCTGCTCGGCGAACCCCCAGCACGCGAGCCAAACCTGCCTCGCCGAGTGCTCCCAGCTCCCTGCGGCACGGCTTGGCGAACGGTTTCTTATTCGGCGTTTCGATACCGGGCGGAGGGGGGGGATGGGGGGGGGTCTGGCTCCCCCTGCTTCATGTGACTGTCTGCAGCAGTGCGTCCCATGGGGAAGACTCCAACTGCCTGAAGCAGGCGCCCAAAAAAGGCCAAGATCTACTCCACGGGGGGGGGGTGCGAGGGCCCGCGCCGATCGGCAGAGCAACGAATGAGAAAACATTCGCTCACCCCTTTATCACGCGGCAGGCTGCCTCACCGGAGGCTTGCCCCACGGCGATCCGCGCGAGCAGCCACCCGGCGCCCCCGACCAGCCACGGCATCACCCCGTGGAGCCTGGGAGCGCGACCGCCCCGGCCTGAGCGGCCCCTGGCTGGAGCCGCCGCGGGCGAACACTTTTGAGGCACTGCGGCCTCGCGCTCCTCCGCGGCCCGCTCGGCCCGCGCACGAAGCGGTGGCCCCCGGCCCGCGCGCACGGCACGCTCCGCGGCCCCCCACTGGCGCAGATGGCCGCGCTCGCCGCCGGAGCCCTGACAGGGGCGGGCCCCCCCCGGTGGCCCCGGCATCGCGCGCGCAGCGCGGGGCTGCCTGCGCGCAGCCGGCAGCGCGCGGAGCGGCGCCTCCACGCCGTCGCTGACGGGCAGGTCGCCCAGCAGGAGCAGCAAGACGCTCTTGGGCTGCGGCTGCGGCTGCGGGGTCGCCCTCTGCCGCTGCCCGTCGCCATGCCGCGGCCTGCTGCGCCCCCTTCCGTCTGTGAAGAGCGATGCAACGACATCCGCGTACACCTCTCGACCCCCTGCTTCAGGAAGGAGTTGCTGGTCACGTCGACGATGTGGGTGGCCAGCGCGAAAGACCCCAGCAGCATCGCTAAGCAACCAGTCGATCTGACTACTACCCTGCATCGCCTTAAGGAACTCGGGACGATCGATCCGCTGGGGAGGGAGGACGGGGAGGCGGGGGGGGGAGGAGTGAGAAAAGACAAGGAAGAGAAGAAGAATGGGAACGGGAGGAGGGGGAGGGGGGAGGAAACGGACGCTACAATCTTAGGATTGAAGTCCGTTACACGTCAAAAAAAAGAGGAGCAGCAGAAAAAGAAAAGGACGCGAAAGGCTGAGTAAGACACGGGCTCCTCTCTCCCTTCTCTCTTTCTCTTTCTCTTTCTCTCTCTCTCTCTCTCTCTCTCTCTCTCTCTCTCTCTCTATATATATATATATATGTCCTCTCTCTCTCTTTCTCTCTCTCTCTCTCTCTCTCTCTCTCTCTCTCTCTCTCTCTCTCTCTCTCTCTCTCTATATATATATATATGTCTCTTTCTCTCTCTCTCTCTCTATTTCTCTCCCCCCCCCCTCCTTCCCTCTATTTGGCGGCGCGCAGGGTAGGGGGAGGGGGGGGACGGCTTCTTAGAAGGAGGCCGTTTCTTTTGAGGCGCAGGCCTGACATCTACAGAGAAGGCCCGCGCCTTCTAAGAAGCAGGGGTGCCTCTAAGAAGCCTTCCCCCCCCCTGCCCCCCTCTGCGCGTGGCCGATCTATCTCTCCTCTCCCCCATCTCCCTCTCCCTCTCCCGCGCCTGGACAGCGGGCACGCTACACTGCGAGACGCGTCAGCTACCTGGGCCGCCGCGGGCCTCGGTCCCCCAAGACCTCCCCTCAAGGGAGGTTTCGTTGGAGGGAGATTGATTTTGGGATTTTTTTTGCTCTATCGATTCCCTCCGAAGCCCTTCTTTCTGGAGCTTACCAGGGGATGAGCGGCCCGCAGACGGTGCTGCGGGCTGGACCGCCCGCGCAGACACGGGGCCAGGCCCCCGCAGCTCCGCCCTGCCCCAGCTCTGGCTCCCGCTGGCTGTC